GGTTCAATGTCCTCCCTCAGTCCCGCGTGGGATAAGTGTGGATGGTACGCAGTGAAAATGCACAGTGTAGATGACCGGGCATTATCCCCCTACAACTTTGAATACTGATCTCCAACCAAATCTTTTGTTGGTTGCAAAGGCAGTATCAAATTGGCCGGGCAGTATCCATTTCCCAGGCAGGTACAGTTTTACCTGGCAGTTTCTATTTACAACCCAAAGGATGTTTAATTTGGCTGGTGTAAAAAAAATATCAGTACAAAAAAGAAATCTCGATGACAACGCCTTAAAACACGTCAAAATTAATCCTCTGCTTGGAGAGCAACGAAATACAGGATTGTGATCAACTGACCAAATACAGTCTGTCGGATCAAGAAAACGCCACATTTTATCCACGAAAGAACATTTCGAACTTTCAAGCAACCAGGGTGAAGTTGAGATAATAAAATAACAAGAAATGGAAGAAAGGAAACCAACCATATATATTTACACCTGGTATATACATGTAGCTGAAAGTTTAAGTAAAATACCAAAAGCTAGTAAATCAACCTGTTTCATCTACCAATGGACGGGGCTTATGAATTTGAATGAGTGAAAAATATTATAAACTTTTCCCAAGATTTCATACATGTCTTCAAATGACACGCAGCAGCTGGCATAAGCATACAGGTTCAATGTCCCGGATGAAACATGGCCCCTCGGTCAGGGCCTAACCCAACCTTGTCATGCGCCCTCCAATGAAAACCGTAATTTTTCTGCTTTAATTTGGAAACGTACATATCATTCAACGTCAACAATTCCCCCTAGTTGTCTGTGGTGAACTGTCCGCTCATCCAATTTCAGAATTATCTTTCTACCGGTTTAAAATACCATCAGGCTCTGTTGAAAACAAATCAATCTATCTCATTCAGTTCTTAATTGGCCCATCCATCCTTACAGGTCGACATGTCTCCTAGTATAGAGGTGAAATCCTTCATGTACAAAATAAGACGTCGTGTCTCCTGGATAGGGGATGAATTCCCCACGCTGAGTATGCATGTGTCTGTCTACCCACGCGCGCCATTTTCTCGGAGCCAGCCATTGATTTTTACGCCCGTTTCCATTCATGCTATCAATGGACGAGCTGTCCTGAAATGAAGGTCACCCCCCCCCCGGAAGGCGGCAACACGTCATTGATTTTTCCCATTGATCATTCGAGAATGATATTCCGTAGACTTGGATGATGTATGCGAACGATTTTCAGTGTGATTGGCGCCGAAAGGATTGTGACAACAAAAGATGAGTTTGGTCCATGATGTGTGTTATCTAATGAAGATACAATCTAGTATATAAACATATCGTCATGAGTGTTGTCTGCTATATGTTCTGCTGATGGGGACCAAAAAACAAAATAAATCGACGCACAGAATATAATATATCACATAATTTGACGCGCACTCTACCATATGAATGGACATATTTTGGATGAATGCATGTCTATCATCATCATTCCCATTACATTGACATCATTACAAATGGCAACCACAACTGAAATCGTAAAGCTACCGACGGCTCTTAATTTTCCTACCTTTACTATTTTGAGTCTTTTATAGCTATACGTTGGAAAAGACATGACATATTACATGTAACGTTATGTGTACTAGACATTCAGTAGATGCTTGGTGCACAGTGCACTGCATGATCATTCATGAATACACATTTATAGAAAACATTGAGAAATCCACTTGATCAATCAGTCTGTGTAGTCCGCCCCTCCCACTGAAGCGTCACATTATAATGATTCATCGCAGCTTTATTTGAGGTTGCATAGTAAAAAGCCGTGCTGATGTGAATGGCAGCTAGCTAATAATAATAATGTAATGCAGAAGGAAAGACGGGTGTGTCAGCATGGAGTCTGCAGATTTACCATCGTGCGATAGTATTTTTCAGACATTCTGCGTCACAATTTGTGGTCTTTTGTTGTCCCTGTACCGTACGGTGTGTATAAAGTTGCCAGTCATGATTTACAGGATACTTAGTACCACCACAAATATCTTGTTTACAAACAACGTTCGCATCCCCGAAATCACATCCTGCCCAGATGACGCGTGACTCATGAATTACCTGGGATTTCATGAATGGAGATGGCGGGAACAGAGGAAATGGCGGGAAAAGATCCTTATCAATGGCCCCACGCCCTCCCCACATAATCACCTGCTGTAGTCAATGGATCATCTCCAAGCAGATGTCTGGCAGAGTTTGAGACCATCTGAACTTATATTCGATTTCTTTCTATTGGCCATGCGAATGACAACATGCCAGCGAACCACACTGAAGGCCAAATATACAGATAACATGCCAGGGGGAATTTGGTGCCCTAAGGAGTACATTTTCCGCACACTGGTATGTTATCAGTCTATTTCTATTCCGGCCGCTTTCGAAATCTAGTACAGGCACCACCAAAGAAAACACCACCAATTTGCTCTAAATACCGGGCCCTGACACTTCCAGTGCTAATCTTTTTACAAGAAAACAGGAAGATGTGAAGTCGTTACACACGTGCCCATTATATCATTATCACCTAATGTAGCCAAGGAGTTGTCAAACGTTCACGTTGTAACTTCGTGTCGTTACTAGATTTGACGCATCCTGTTCCCACAATCACCTGTCCATTCACATGCTAATCACAGTCAGCCAGCGTGTGTGAAAAACGGATTTTTATGAATGAAAGGCGGAGGTAATTACGTAAACAGGAAGCGATCGAGGTCCCATGTGGCTTAGACACACGCACATAATGCCGTGCGAACTAATCACCCGGCTTTCTTCATTCACAATTTAGAAGGGCGTCCTTCCAAACAGTTTATTCTGTACTGTTTACACGCGGAATAGGCATTCCAGTCCATTCCAGTCGACCTATTTAGAGACTGCCAGTTTTGTTTGTATCTCAGGATGAATACGAAGTTGTTTTCAAGCCTGTCAGGGCAGGCGATGACAGATATCAATGTGTATAATGTCATTGATAACACAAAAAGTATATTTATATATTTCTTCATCTCTGAATTTCAATGGACTGGCTATATAGTCAGCAGGCGACCTTGATTGACTACGTACCCGCGCTAGCAAAAACCTAAACGATCCTAAACCCCTAGTCTCCACCAGACTTCTTTTGCAGGCTGAATAAATTGATCGTCGAAGGCCGGCTACCTTCTCTCGCCAATTAATACCCTTTTTAGACCGATTTCTCCGAATTACTCAGCCTGCAAAAGAAGTCTGGTGGAGACTATACTAAACCCCGACCTAACACTCACAGCGTTAGCTTGCCCTTTCCAACTGTGCCCATGAACCATTTGAAATTGGCTTCCGGTATCCTGAGGGTAAATAAAAGACCTCCTGAAACTCGACAACTTCACGAGGATCCCGCCATCCCCTGCAGCAACGATAGGTTTGTATAACTCTGCTGTAGCAATACAGGATATAGGCTGAGTACACAGCGTTGTTTCAAGTGATTTTAGTGCTGGGAAAGGTTAACCCCCTGCATTTCCGCGCAGGAAAGCTGAGAAAATCCCCGAGACTGTGTCAGCTAGCGAGACATGCTTGTGTACGGCTCAGCGCACCCAGAGCGAATCTATTCCGAAACAGTCAATCAAACATACCGTCATTAAATGTCGTGTTTTGCAGTATATTTCAGGATATCTGTCACGGGGTATTTCTAATCCTCCCTCCTTTGGTTTTGATTTCTCTCGCTTTAAAATTTTTGTTTTCATTTCTCGCTCAACCAAGCGTTTAGGGTCGAGGCAAACAAACACTCGTAATTCGTGGGGTGCATTTGCACAGAAAATAAACAAAATATTCAGAACTGAATCCAATACACTGCTTTATACCGTGCTTGTTAGGACTAACAGAATAAAAATGCATGTCGTTTGTGCACGATTTTCTGTCCATTTTCGTAAACGGTCCCTGCTGTCGCCTGTCCGTTCAGCCCGATGCTACCGTCCCGTCTCGGTGATTACCGTCCCAGTAATTCCATCCGGTCATCCCCTCTCTCCCGACAACTGCTATCGACCCCGTTCGCTTCCGTACAACCAATTATCCCTGCTCCCCAGGGGCCGACTGGCCAATGGCGTGGCTCCTCCCCCTAACCATCTGAGTGATTTGTATGCTCCATCTGATGTGTTTGTGTGTAAACCGCCACCGGAAATACCAGACCCCCGAGGCATTTGAAGAAAAACCACAGGGGCGACCTTTATACACATGCCTGTTTTGCGTTCAGATTTGTCTGCATCTGCATTAATTCGTACGTCCGCTAGGTGCAGTGTTGGCCCTCAGACCCTATATATACAGTACATGACCTGTGATGTACTAGTATTTTGGAATTGAGAAATTGAAATAATACAAATGCCTAAAACCAATGTTAACTTTTTTTTCAAAAACAGACTGTATCCTTCAACAAAAGCACCAAAATTGATAGATGACAAAAATACTGTGGTATACTTAGCACATTAGCGATGCTGAAAATAATTACACCTATCAAACGACAATCAAAAACAATAACATCATCCTGGAATGTTGTTTTTAACATAAGTACATGCCATTTTCCATATATTTTCATTGTAAGTATTGTTTGTTTACTTATCATCATTAATTGTTCATGCATGTCGATCTTATCGTGACGTTTTCTGTTCTACGGCCTAATGCTCCCAAATATTCCAGGCTCAATTTTTTCTCTCAATTTTGCTCCGAGGTTGCATTATGATACCATTACTTCTTTATTACCAAAACATGTAACGTTTACAAACGTTTCTGTTCTTGAAAATCTTCAATGATCACAAAAAATCGTAATTACTCAATTAATGTGTAATTGAGTAATACTTGATCAAATCAAGGGAATTAATTAGTCTGAAAATAATACATTGATAAACCATAACACGCCCTCCGTATCTGCCGTCAAGAGTGTGCTCGATAGCGACAAGTCATCTTCCGATATTATTTTTTACAGTCTAAATTATGGTGATGGCAACCAGGCACTACTTTCTACTGGCCAAATCCGGAGGCGGGTCCCGTAAACGTCAATGGACACAATAGAAGATGAGGTTATTAGTCACTATGGTAACGGCGATGACGGTAATGGCTAGCAGCGCGCTGATTGGCTGTCTAAAAGAAGGAGTATGTATTGTTTGTGCTGTATATGGAAGTGAGTGGGTTCGGTGAGAGAGTGTGTGCGTGTTGTCAGATGTGAGGCGGGCTTCAGACAAGCACAGGCCACATTTCTCGAAGATCTCCCGTCGTTGCTACCGGGTGAACTCGCCAATCCTTCACGGGAAGACCTAAGGAGCACCTCGGCTAGGAACATCACGTCACCACCGAGGATTTTATCGACGAACCATCGGTGAATTTCGCCAGCTAAGCGGGGGCAGTGCTACCGCCGATTCGCGTCTCAAGCAAGACATTCCATCACATTTTTACCAGCGAGAGAAGGCACTCTCCACACGGAGAGAGAAACCCGTCAAGATTCCAGTTCAAGAGGAGACAAGACTTCGGACAGTAACAAAAATGACGGAACCGAATACGAAATCTGTGGACTGGTTGTACGACCATCTGACACAGGATATGGACGTGTTGCAGTTGGACTGCAGGGCTTGCGAAGACTACGCCGCCTCGCACATCGAGGGCGCCATTAATGTTGTCATTCCCTCGCTCATGTTGAAGCGCCTCAAAAAGGGGAACTGTTCAATCAATACCCTGATCCTCAGCGATGTCGGCAAGGAGAGATTCAACCGGAGGTGTAAGGAGGACTTTGTTATTTTGTACGACGAGGCATCGACGGACACAGGGTGCACGAGCCAGACCATAAACCTCCTGATGAAAAAGTTGCAGGAAGACGGCTGCAGAGCGTTCTACCTACAAGGTACGCCCCTTTACCCGCTTCAGTTTTCTACCGACTGTACGTCAACTATTTGCACCCCTGGTGTGCTGTTATGTTTCCTATTTGATATGGTATGATTTTGTTCCAATGTTTTAGACAATTGCGTGGACTGAATTTTCGTAGGGAAAGTACTGTTTATATATATTGAGTGTTTTATGCCCACCAATCTCATAGTGAACGTTCCTCACCTGTCTGAAATTTGCAAGGTGTGCAGAATCCACAAATTATGGTGCCTCTTGACCAAAATTACTGCTTGCAGATGTTGATGTATTTTTGTGATGTTATGTGTTTGCTACAGGAGGGTTCAATCAGTTTCACACCGAGTACCCGGAGTTGTGCGAGTCGACGTTGGAGAGTTCGGCGGACAGCAGTCGGGGCGACCTGCCGCCGATCTTCGGGCTCGGGGGCCTGCGGATCAGCAGCGACTTGTGCAGCAGCAGCGACTCGTCCTCCAGCTCGGAGGGCTCCGACATCTGCAGCGATTCCTCGGACAGCGACTCGCCTCCCCTGGACGCCTACCCCGTCCAGATCCTCCCCTACCTCTACCTCGGCACGGCGAAGGACGCCGCCAACCTGGACAGTCTGAGAAAGTACGGCATCACACATATCCTCAACGTCACCCCCAACTTGCCCAACAAATTCGAGGGATCCGAGACCTTCACGTACAAGCAGATCCCCATCTCAGACCACTGGAGCCAAAACCTGTCCCAGTTCTTTCCTGATGCCATATCCTTCATCGGTAAGTTGTCTTACACATTATGCCCATTTTTATTATCGTTTCAACTTTTCCTTCCCCACAAGCTTGGTACAGAATGTAGGGAAAATTATGATTGTGCAAGTGTTTCATACTATCTACTTCAGTTCAAATATACTTCATTTTAAAACGGGAAGTTGTGAGTCCGGAGCTTAGAAACGGAGTACACAGAAGATGTGTCATTATTTACACACTCTGACAGCCAGATCTGCCCAGTCCAGGTGTGTACAGGTGGCCCACCAATATCCAACCGACTTACCTCTATTTACATGAGAAATATTTTCCTTTGAAACCTTAGAAAGTGCCCCTCCTCCCAACCCGTCAAGAGTTCATCAGCGAGTCTAAACACGTCCACATGGCTTTATAGTTCTGGCAGGGCTCCACGGACTTTCCTGCCAAAATCCTTTTCCTGGCTTGAAACTCAGCCATTCCCCGGTTGTCTGAACTCCTGTATCCTGTAGGGGTTCTGTCCCTTCATGGCTCTGTACTACAGGCGGGGATGTGTGTGTTTCGGGTGGCTCTGTGTTCTCTAGTTTTCCCCAGTGTTTATCCTGTTGTTTTGACCGTGCCAGGCAGTGTTTCTTCCCGTGTGTTTGGTATGCATAGGGAGCCCCTGCTCCGGAGGTGCCCCGCGTCTAATTTCCGGCGGGCCTGAAGCCATCAGGCGCGCGGATGTGTGTAATAGGGGAAACCCGATAACTGCTCGCCCACCTTCCCCCTGCTAGCCTACACAGGTTCCAGATGTTGGTGTGAGCCCTTGTCCGTGACCCCAGGCTCCCCAAACTGCATCATTTCCGCACAGGCAGGCCCCAAACGGAGACAGATTTGGAGCAGGTTTTGTGGGGCAGGCGGGTTTTGGTATTCCTGGCACGCATTGATGCGCTTTACTCAGCGCGGGGCCAGCCGACCCGGCCGTGTGTGTAGAAACGATTTTCATATCAATGCGGGGGCCCCATTCACAACAAATCTCCCTCTCCCGCCCAATCTCCGGCCTCCCATTGAATTTCCGGCCCTGCCGTATTTACGATAGGAGAGCAGTTTTAATGGAAAATATTTGATCTGGTTGTGAACACAAAAGAAATGATGGATACTTTGCACATTGGCATAATTTTGTAACAAACCTATGATATTTGGGTGAGACTGTGCCAAGCTTGTGGCGAAGGGTGTATTATGAATAAAATAAATTGAAGTCTTATGAAAAATATTAACCTGCATTGTAAGGATGTAAATATTTCATACTTAGTAGTAATATATCTTGTGTTGTCACAGTTTTGTTAGCAGTTGCCATTGTAATAAATTGCTGCTGCATAAGAAATACTTTTACGTCACAGTATTATTCATCAATTAAGGAGATGGCAACCTCTCATTGGTAATGCAGGGCTATCAACAGTGAATGGTTTATAAGCCCTTGTTACTGATTGAAAAACTCGCAGGTGATTGCACCATCACTAAAGACATGTCCTCCATTCATATTTTACAGAGGAAGCACGCCAGAAGAAGACCGCAGTTCTTGTCCACTGCCTGGCCGGTGTGAGCCGCTCCGTAACGGTCACCGTGGCGTACCTCATGCAGAAACTGAACTTGTCATTGAACGACGCGTACGACTATGTCAAGCAGAGAAAGTCGAACATTTCACCGAATTTCAACTTCATGGGCCAGTTGCTGGACTTTGAGCGTATGTTGGAGCACAGCCACCATTGTACAAATTGCCAGTGTGACAACGTGCCAAAAATGCAGTTCACGGCGACACCGACCATAACCCCCCTCCACAGCTAGGCTCACGAGAGTCAGACTTGAAGCACAAGTTTGTAGAGAAGACATGGACAGTGTTGGAATCATCACTGTCTGCAGTCGGGACTCTAGATTGCTGCACTTTTAACAACCCAAGAATTTTCTGTTAGATGTTCAGAATAGAACTCTACAAATGTAGAAAAGTTCGGACAAGAAAGAATATATTATAGAACAGAATGATTGTGGAGATACTGTTGTCAGCAGTGGAAGGGTAGAATTTATCAGTGGACCATATAAATGTAGGGCGACAATTGTCGTCAGCCATTTAAAAAAATCATGTATATCGCTATTTTTTGTTTTCTCCCCCAAAACAAAAGTGCCTTTCTATCTCAGGATTGGGGACCCTTTCCCCTATATATTACATCCTTGTCAACTTTTCCTCATAGTCATACTACATAATGGTGATGAGTTAAGGTGCTCTTTGTAAGAGGAGCAAAAAAAATTCTGACCTCATCTTGGTTTTCCTGCCAAAACTATCTGGTATAAATGTGGCAATATTTTTCCAAGGGATCAAAATTCTTTTTCCTCTGTATATTGTAAAATATGTACAATGTCACTGTGTATTATGAACAGGAAGGTCCCTAATGTAAATAAAGTTTTATATGAAGAGAAATCTACTACATCCGGCTCCTGGTTGTTAATATTGTGTGTGAGAGGTTTTCAGGTGGTCTTTCCGGGCCACCTCCCACAAGATTTGTGTGTGTGGTTGGATGTAAGAGAGGTGTTGGCTTTCAAAATCAGCCTCTTTTGTAGCGACCTTGCCAAGTATGGGTCACCCGCAAAGTCCGTTCCCACAAAGATCTAAAGAATGGCGATGTTTTCCCTTCCATTCACAGCCCGCCCGGTGTTACACGGACTGTGTGAATGGAATCGTCGGATCGGTATTGTCACTGATCGGGGCTGACATCAGTCCCTTTCAGACGCCCACTGATCACAGGTGATCGGATCGCACAGATTGTTTTCCTGGCTTTGTTTGCCCTTGCCGCCGTGACATGTTAAGTTTTCCGGCCCTATTATGCACCGGCTCAGTGGGGGGCTCTTGACAGGTAAACATGCTGGATGACATCACAATGCACAGGTCGCAGGGAGGTCGTGGGGGTCACCTGTGGAGCCCTCTGATTGGTCAGTCTAGTCAACAAGGTGGATGAGTGACTAACCAGACTGAGTAATACTGCAAACCTAGGCATGAGATCAGGACAGGATGTTATATTGTCAGGATCCTTCCTATTCCAAGGTTACATAATCTATGACTAAAAGATTACACCAACTTTCCATAATCCCATGACTTGCTAGAATCACGTAATCATGTCTCATCACTCCTGTTTAAGTTCTTACCAAGATGTTTAGTTATGTACAACACTCCAACTGTGTGGGGGGAGGTTAAATATTAAACTGCCCATTTAGGTGCCAGCAAACTCGGTTATTGATTGTCTTGTTTGGCTTAAACGGAAAACTAGAGCTTAGGTGAAGAAACAAAAGGCACCCAAGAATGCAGGTAGAGGTCAAGGTAGTGTGAGGGCAAAGGGAAAACTGGATCTGAACACAATCACTAATGTATTTAAAAAAACAGGCAACAGCATTGATTCTGTCAGAAGGGGTGGATGGAGTCTTTGCTGTGACATGTCTGGTTAGCCTCTACACATGTCTGATTAGCCTCTACACATGTCTGATTAGCCTCTACCAGGCTTCAGAAGCAAATGGAAAGAGTATAAATTGGCCAAATAGATAACATGCCAGGGTAGTTAGTCCACAGAAGGTGTACAGTTTCAGAGGGTTGACTTTAATAGCCAGCCAACTTCTCTGGCATGTTAGATCTATCTGTATATTTGGCCTAGTTCTGCTCTTTCTAGCTGCTTCTGAAACCTGATAGAGGCTAATGTTTGACAATATTTGTGGGCTTGGGCTGCAAAAACAATTCACATCCAATTAAAGTTTCCAGCATTTCCCTTGTACATTTTTTCTAGCAGTCAATCTAAATGTCAAAAACCATAACTTGAATGTAGGGAATGAAAGCACCAGTGAACTACTAGTATTGTCATAGATGCCTTTTTGCAGTCAAACCTTTGAAATGTGATCTGCTTCCAATACAATCAGGCCCTACCACTTTACATAACCCAAGAGGCACCTGTGGAAGTTGTGAATGGGGGTTAGTATAGTCTAGGACTCTACATTTATACCAGTGTTAGTGAACCTATAACCAATTATTGACATTCAACTATTTATTGTGACTAGGAAATTTTCAGGGTAGATAATTTTCAGGGTAGATTTTTGTGATCACCTGTATATGTTTGATGAATTTCTTGCAGATAAGGGGTGCCTGTAGACCCCTTTCATGCCCTTGAACAGGTTAATATATATTGGACAGTCCAAAATCTAGGTCTGATTAAACTGATGAACTGATATCAGTAGATGCAGTGATAGCATTTGCTATTTGTTTTTCCACTCTGACTGTAGCAATGTAAACATTGGCTGTTTGATAACGGAGATTGGTCATAATGCAAACAATAAAATCATTCCGCCTTACTCACTCACTTAATGTTTAACATCTAACCATAGTAACCTTGATGATGGCAACTAAGACAAAACCACACATTTCCATCCCCTCTCCAGGTCCTTGATTTGATTCAAAAGCCAACAAAAACTTTTCTTTTCCACTTCTGACTAGTACTCAGTGCCCTACATCCAATGGCTATAGATGCTTAACTCACATTCAATTCCACCTAGAGCATGATGGGCCCTCTCTCTGACACTTGGAGAGGAGAGCCCTGAGTGATGGCTCTCTGAACCACATCCGCCCACACATTGACGTCTTACAGGAGCACATGACAAGCACTGGGCTAAAAATAGCCCCCAGACATTTACCTGACTTTCGCCTTGCCCCCTCCGTATTGATCACTCCAAGCAACCATTGAGACAACTCATTTTTTATGGACCGGTCCAAGTGTTGGCCGGAAGGGGGAAGATGCAGACGATTTTCTGTGAGGAAACAGTAAAGTACTAATCTCCAAGCAGATCTTAAGGTGGCTGAAAAGACAGTATCAAAATGGCCAGGTGAGGCAGTATCCATTTGCCACCCAAAGTAAAAAAAAATACCTGAGTACAAAAAAGAGAGCCTGATACAAAAAATAAGCCAAAGCCCAAACCTCTGCTTGAAGAGTAGCGAAGTACAGTCAGACTTTAATATAAAATGGTTGTGCAAGCAGGTGAACTGATGGTATCACAGAATATGCAGAACAACAATTGTGGTAACAAATTCGTTTGGTATTGCAGTTTCTCATACACATCGTAAAAAAATACTTGTGTAATGGCTAATAAAGAACGGTAGGTTTATCAGATTCATTGTGGTCACCCTTGAAAAGACAGGTGCAGCTGATTTATAATTACCAGTATGGATCAAAAGGACCCCTATCTATCTAGCTAAGGTTGTGAAAATGTCAAATTCAATTCATTTTCTGTACAGTTTTCTTACTGTGACAGTGTGTACATCGCAGGTATCACCCAATGGGTGCCCCTAATACAGCACTGGAATAGCAACTCAGCAATGCCTCGCTTTACCAGTATATACACCTACATATATATGACTGACAGATGACCCCATTCACTGCCCATTAACCCCAATAGCTGGTGGTCCATTCAGCACATTCAGTATGAATGGAATCAATGAATGGGCAGCTAACTGTCCCCATTCACAAAGGTGTTAGCCTGGACTGCTATATGACCAATTTCTCTATAGCAAACTGCTACACACAGATTATGCAGCTTCAGAATCAAGATAATACTCTTTTAGGTTATCAATTTGTGTCTGATACTGCAGCAGAAAATTGTATTTTCCTGTAATTATCATAATCTCTGATGGCCAAAGAATGGCCTCTGCATATATCTCATACAGGTAAAGGTATTCTGAATATAGGTATTCTAAATATAGTTCTTTTTAATCAAACACACAAGTTATGAATGAGTCAGCATCTCTATTTAAGTTACCAATACCTCACGTTTTCATAGCATCTAATACCTCTAACCAAGGTCATATGATTGAATGTCCTTGCTCTAACCAAGGATGCTGTATTGTATTCTTGCTCGCTTATACCAATTAAGATGCAATTTCAAGGTGGTTTGCATATGTTTCTTCTATTTTAGGCATGCCAGCTACACTTACATTTGACAGGTAGCATAACATCTTCTATTTTAGGGTTGCAGTTGAAGTATGTGCTCTAATCTAAGCTGTCATTCTATACTTGAAAGATGTTTTGATATTTTCTATTTAAGGTTTACAATGATGAAAGTATATTGTCATGTACATGTACGCTAAATGTGGATTCTAATAAAGTCAAGTCAATCTTCTAATTTCAGCTGAAGGGCGGCATAAGAATCTTCTACTCTATAATTAGACAATTCAACTTGATCTGCCTTAACTGAAGAAATAGTTCTGTCAGTTACCATGGCACCCTTAGCAATTTCTGGGCAGCAAAACTGGATTTTTAAAGTCAATTTTCTGGCCTGTTTTAGTATAAAATGAAGTAAGTTTGACACTTCAAGTATGAAATTATAGTGAAAATGTGCTAAGAAATGGCAATAAATGCAATATCAGACAAATTTCTTCATCCAGACATATATGCATATATCTTTTGTTTTGCCGCCCTGCAAAGTGCAATTGCATTGGATGCCTTAAATACTACCGATAATACATTATACTTTGCTCTGTGAGAAATTTATAATCCTAAGTCTCCCATCAGTAACATACAGCTAGGAGCCAAGGTAAGTAGTATTTTAGGAAGGATACTGTCTGTTGGCCAAAGACACCACTGGGAGATCAAAGGAAACGGAAGGAAGTGAGTTATGAGATAACTGGAGGCCTCCCCAGCTTCCTGTGTTATTTTGGGCTGTGGGAACCACAAAATTCTGGCTCAGCTCCAGTCATCACATTTTCCTGTTCCAGTTCTATGGACAAACCTGTGCAGAAAACAAGAAGCGATACGCAGAGTAATGATATCAAAAGTATCATCTCTTACGAATTCAAGAGAGCTGCCTGAGTGTATGTTACATACAGTGTAAGGCTGCTTGAGGTAAATACCACTTTGGCCCCTCCAAATTTAATGGTCACGATTCCTGCTGGTTTTGTGTGGGCAGATGCAAATCCTTCCTGCTCCAGAGTCATCTTTCAGAGGTAATGACTGAGCAATCGATACACATCTCCATGGAGCTCCTAGCAACCCACGTCCCTAAGGGTGCTCTGAGGAGGGGGATGGATGGAAACTGCTGTTCTTGAACTTGGAAATGGTGGCTCGTGTTAACATTATCTTTTTATCTTCAACTGGTGAAGATCCCTCTCCTTTTCTGAAGGTTCCTCCTTGCCCATTTGTGTGATACATCATAGGGAGAGACCATTTGTGATGGGGGGGAGAGCAGAATGGGACTGTCAACAAGTCAAGTGTACCATTATATCTTCATATGTATTAAAGCTTGATGTAACATTGAGTGTGTCACCATCTCATCTGTATTTCTTTATTACTGGATTAATGAAAAAAGTGGGTGGGTAGAAATCTAACCACTGCTTGGTTGGTGATTGAACATTATATAACATTACATAACATCAATTTCATGACTATCATTGTAGCAC